TTCTAGTTATTATGATGAGGTGATGTTGCACCTTCTCAGATGCTTCTTTTGCATCTGAAGTAGAGTACAAGTCAATGGCTTTTACTGTATTCACTCTGCTATGCAGCTATTACCACAAATTTCAGAATATTTATGTATCTCATATGGTTTTGTTTACTATTAAGCTATCCATTCATACTGGGGGTAACTGAATCAGTCGTTTATGGATTTGTATAGAAACATACTTTTTCTTTCCATTGTAATGAAGTTCTTGTTTGGCAGGGTGGGTTACTGGAAGTCGAGCTCAGGACCACCCACTTGCAGGCAGACGCTGTTGTAATGAACTGTTGGTTGTTTTCACAGCACCTCTGGAAGCTGATGGTAGAAGAGTCAGATCTACTGGGTCAGTTAAAGGTAATAACTCTTTAGTTTTAATTTTTTTTTGGGGGGGGGCTTGGTACCAGGAATCAAACTCGTACCACTGAGCTACATCCCTGGCCCTCTTTTAATTCTAACTCTGGTGCTGGCAGACACAGACTTACATTCTCTAACCTTTTCTGAGTACTGATTGCCTGTACCTAGACTTCCGAGACTCATCAGGTCTTACTTAAGTGAGCAGATAGTAGTTTGTCCTACAGACCTCCTATAATGTAGGAGTTTACTCTGCTGTGTAGTAGTTACGTTATCATTGATAACTATATGATAGCAAACGCAAAGCAGTCATGCTGTGAGGAGCTGCTCATGTGCCTTTTTGAAATGCCAAATGTCTGTGACGTGACCTTCAGGCCTCTAAGATTGAACTTACATGTCTCATTCCCTTGGGAGAGCAAAGACCTCTGGCCCTGCTTTACTGATTTGTAATTTGAAATTCTTTCCTCAGATCATTAAAGACTTTTACCTTCTGGGACGAGGAGAACTATTTCAGGCCTTCATTGACACTGCTCAGCACATGTTAAAAACGCCACCCACTGCCGTGACCGAGCATGGTAATTGTCCTGTAGCCCTGAGAATGTCTAGCTTACTGGAGTTTTAGGGTGCTGCCTAGCTGCAGCTGTTGCTCTTAAGACCATTCTTCATGTGAGTAGCCTGATGAGTCACAGAGCAGTGCACTCAGAGGTGGAGGACTTGCAAGTCGGCTTCATACCGTGGCCAGTCGCAGCACCTTGCCTGGTGGTTCTTTGTGGATGAATTGGTATAGGCCTCCATCCAGGTGTTTCATCTCAGATGTAACACATCTTGTAGGGCTATTGGCATTTCATGTAACAACAGTATTACATAGAATTCTTTCTGTTATAGACAGTGGAAACCTATCCTGAGCTAACCTGGTTTATAAAGGAGAATTTATTTTCTGTTTTAGCTAAAACTCAAGTGGGACAAGGATATAACTGGGCCTTAAACAACTGAAGTAAGGAACTTAGATACTATGAGAATTCTTCCTCCTAATATCTGTGTCTCCTGTACTCTGCTGGCCTAGGACCATCCAAACATGCCTCCCCCCAGTGTCTAGTAAAAGAACCAGCCCTGGTCTCTCTGGTAGCAAGGTAAAGAATTCTAGGGAAGGGTTTTGATTGGCACAGTTCCAGTCACACACTTTGTGTCAATAAAGAGGTCAGACATTAG